TTGAGGTCAGTCTGTATAGAGATTTATGTAGATCCTTTGAACTGTTTTGCAGCACTGAGAGTTCAAATTTATTTTTATTTTCTAACTTGAAGCAGCAGGTGGATTTGCATGCCTTTTCCATCAGCTGCTGTTAACTCCATTTTGTCCAACCTCAAAGCCTTATCAGGTTTTAACATCTATGGAACTGTCTTAGATTAATTAAGTTATTTACAGATAAAATTTAAAGGAATGGTACTATATTGCTATTTGTTTTATAATGTGTTCTTTTTTTTCTCTGTAAGTTGACTTTGAGATCTGTAGGGTCAAAGATATGAATTATGCTATTTTAAAATCTGTAGTAGCGAGGCTTACAAAGTCAGATACTTAAAGGGAACCATCAGGTAGATGGTTTGAGCCGGCTAGACTGGGCCCAGGCAAAAGGCTGAATAAGCATCCTGGTTTAAATCAGTCATTTATTCCAGCAGGGTTTTGTCTTGTAGGAATGTGAGCATCTAAAAATTAATTCACTGTGTGTTATTTGACTTGTGGTTTCTAGGTTTGCTGCTTCTAAATGAGCACATCTTCTGAACACATAGAAAATGGCTTTATAAATACTTGTTTGATGCTTACTTTTTTTTAATACTGGATACACTACTTTTGCTGGATTTTCATAGTTGTAACATGTACAAGATGTAAGAGAATGTTCTCATCTGTAAAAGAATTTTCCCTTTTTGAAGGATGGCACATACACAGTTAAGGAGATTAAATTCTACCCTAGAAGCAATAGATTTCAGTATTGAATCTTTACTGCTACGCCTATGGAAAGTCCTTTGGATCATTTTCCAAGTTAGAATCCAGTGATAAAATGGCTGTACATTCTGAGGTCATGCAAAAGAATGATACAGCCAAGTGCACTTCAGCTACCTGGGTGCCTGAAGTGGGAGGATCTCTAGTTTGCGACCAGCCTTGATGAGGTAGTAACACCCCCATCTCAGACAAAGAAAAACAAACAAAAAATGATATAGTGAATTGTTGAAAAATCTATGTGCCTTCCAATTAAGGTTTCTAATTTTTTTTTATTTCTTGAATTCTGGATTAATCTTTCATTCTTCCTTTCTCCACCTTTCCCAATGAACATTGTTGACATGCACTGTTGGTACTTATTTGAAGTGTCTCCTGCCTCATTTCTCTTCTTTCATTCCTGTAGATATAGCACCAATTGACTCATATTCCATATTTAGTTTATTTCCAGATTTTATAAAAATTTACATTGTGAATCATAAACATACTCTCATTTAAAGTAAAAATAAACATAGGACCTCCTCACACCCTTTCACCCTAAATCCTTTCAGTTATGTACCTTCTTGCAGTTCAAACTGTTTTTAGTGTGGAATTCCATATCCTTCATACTCTCCAAATCTTTCCCTAGTCTTTTAAATTGGCTTATTCTCTACTCCTCTCAGCAGCCATATTCTATTCTTTTTTCTTATGATATTTCTTCTAAAGGGGATGACTCCTTTATATCTTTTATCACTTCTTCTATTATTGCACTATTCCTTGAATAAAGTTATATAATTCATGGAATAAAGTATGTTCATGTTACTGTATAACAGCCACCACATTGGTCTCTGGAGCTTTTTCCTTTTGACCAGCAGAAACTCCATGCCCAGTGAACTGTGATTCCTTGTTTTGTCTTTTTCCGAGTCCCTTGCAACCATTAATCTACTCTGTCTTCATGCATTTAGTATAAGAGGAATCATAAAATAGTTGTTCTTTTTCTACTGCCTTATTTGACAAAGCATAATGTCTTCAAGATTCATCTGTATTGTAGTATGTCTCAAAATTTCCTTCCTTTTAAAGGCCGAGTAATATTCCATCTTATTTATAGACCACATTTTTTAAAAATCCATATATCTGTCAATGGACACATGGATTTATTGTTAATATTTGGCTATTGTGAATAATGTTACTATAAACATGAGTGTACAAATGTTTATTCTACTCTCTACTTTTAATTTTTTGGGTGTATATAACAAAGTAGAATTGTTGGGTTATATGATAACTCTGTGTTTAATTTTTTTGAATCACCACACATAGTCGACTACCAGTTTACATTTCCAACAGTAAGGGTTCATTGCTACATATTCTTGACAGCATTTGATTGGTTTTTTCATTCTTTTATTTTTCTTTCTCTCCAGTCCCCTTCCTTCTCCTCACCCTCCTTCTCCCTTTTCCCCTTTCTTCCTTCTCCCTTCTTCGCCTTTGTCATTTTATTCCTAAAATCACTGCCAGATTCAGTGCAATGGAGCTTTTACCACTGTATATTCTACTAAGACTTTTATAGTTTTAGCTCTTAAAGTTTTTGATCATTTTGAGATAGTTTTTGTAAATGTTATTAGTGTCCAAATGATTTTTTTTTTTTTGCATATCCAGTCTTCCTGACATCATTTGTTGAAAAGACTGTCTTTTTTCCCACTGAATGGTCTTTCCCTCATTTATATTTGATCAGATTATCTTTGACTTTATCAGTTTTGAATTAACTATCAGTTGTATTTGTGGTGAAAGTTGTAATCTTTCTTGTTATTGCCTTATTTTAAAACCTCAAAATTTGCTTATGCTTTCTTCTCTGCTTGAAAATAAAAGGAAAGACGCAGCAGGTCTATATATTGACAATAGTAGTACCATTTATCAGCTCTTATCTTTTAATTAGGTGTTTGTTAAGATTTATTAACCATTTTTGCTTTGTACTTTACCATCTTGCTACTTGAGACACAGAAGTAGAAGCAATGGAGTATGTTTTTAATCTTTTAAGTGACTGCCCTTTTGTATGTCTGAAAATTTGTTTTTTAGTTAATTAACCTCTCTGGGCTTTAGATGTTTTTAATGTAAAAATGAAAGGATTGAACTAAATACATGTTATATATCCTTTACTATGGAAATACTTAAGTGGTTTTTAGTCAGCTAATAAAAATTTAGTAGAGAATAGAACAGCTTTATATTACGTTAGGAATACATTAAAATTGATATTCCTATAATATATTATCTTTATAGCTTTGGTGTTTTTTTCCATATGTGAACAGAAGTTTTAAATATAGCCATGGATATTAATTAATTTATTTCAATTAGGTATATATGACAGCAGAATGCATTTTGATTATTGTACACAATTACAGCACAACTTTTCATTTCTCTGGTTGTACATGATGTAGTGTTGCACCATATTGCAGTTGTACATGTACCGAGGGTAATGATGTCCATCTCATTCCACCATCTTTCCTGCCCCCATGTCCCCTGATTAGTTTCTTTTAATGATAAAAAATGTTGGTTTCTTTTCTTTTTCTTTCAAACCCAGGGGTGCTTAACCACTGAGCCACATCCTGAGCCCTTTTCAAATATTTTATTTAAAGACAGGGTTCTCAAAGCTCTTGACATATCATATTTCATACATTAGATTCAAGTTGGTTATGAACTCCCAATTTTACCCCAAATACAGATTGCAGAATCACATCGGTTACACATCCACAATGTTTTGAACAACCAATAAAAAATAAATAAATAAATAAAACAAAGCCAAAAAAAAAAAAAAGACAGGGTTCTACTGTGTTGCTTAGGACCTCACTAAGTTGCTAAGGCTAGCTTTGAACTTGTGATCTTCCTGCTTCAATCTCCCGAACTGCTGGAATTACAGGCGTGGGCCTCTGAAGCTGATCGTTTCTAGGTGTTATAGTAACTTATAGTATTACTACTTCCACCTTCTTAATGCATTAAGGAGAATGGGCATGGATTAACGTACATTAAATTAGTTTGCACATGAAAGAGAGGACCACCAAAAGCCGGGTAGAAAAAGCAAGACTCCAGAGACAGACACCTTCTGGAAAGTCAAAGAATTCTAAAGCCTAGACAGACAGATTTGGGGATACTACATCCCTGGATCTGTCTTTGAGAGGCCCATAGTTGTAGGCTACACATGCTTATCTAGATTGAAATTGCCTAAAGAATATTTTTTTCACCAATTGTGTTGATTATGTAATTGTATAAATTTATACATCAAGCTACAGTTATAAAAATTATAACATGTGCTAATTCACTTTGTAAATTTTTTATCATAGCTGTGTTGGCTGCATGTCATTTTTATATTATGTGGAAATACAGATGATAATATATATTGAATGTTTGATACATTTGTTTCACTTTATTGTTTCTATATCTTTTCAAGGAAAATTACGTTTTAGTGATAGTATTTTATTAGGAACTATTTCAGATGCCAAGAAGAGAAACTAATTCATTGCATTCAATGATTTCCTAAGAGTATTAGTGATTAATTGAACATTAGGGATTAATTCTCTTGGTTGCAAAAGGGTGACTGGACAACTGGGAAGACAGGGATGGGATGGAGGCTTTTTATAGCTTTTGAATTTTGAACTATCTGAATCTATTGTCATTACTTTTAAATTATTAGTATTAAATCATTACTAATAAAGTAGTATATTTCCTTGGAAACATTTTCATTTGGGATCATGACTCATTTAACAAGAAAAATAAAATCTTGGCTTTATCAAACATTACTTCAAATCACAGCAGTAATTTCATTTATACTTAAATATTTTGGATTGCAGATGTAAATTGAACAACTACTAGCCTTTTGAGTGGGGATATTTATATAAAATTGAAATGGGAAGTAAATCTGGAATGTAGTACCAAATTTGAATGTATATATAGTGTCTAGGAATGTCTTTGGTAAAAGGGTCTGAAATGAAAGAGCTTTGGAGAGTGATAAAAACATAATAAATAAAATAAAGATGATGCACTCAATGAGATACAGTTCAAACAGAGGAAATTAATGGGAAATGATTACATTAGTAGCAGATGGGCTTACTTACTTTATTGAAATCTTACTGAAATCCTAGAACAGCTAAAATTGTTTTTGATATTGAAAGTCTGATAAAAGATAAAGAGATTTGTTTATCTGGTTGTACTATTGTGATTCTAATTATGTCTTCTGGATGCTTCATTTGTACTAGGCTATTTTTATGATTCCCACAAATCCACCACCAACATTCAGGAAGCCCGAACTCTGGTCTGATGATTTTACCGATTTTGTTAAAAAGTGCTTAGTGAAGAATCCTGAACAGAGAGCTACTGCAACACAACTATTACAGGTCAGTGCTTGTAAAGGAAGAATATTTTGTTCATACCTTTTAGCTTTTGACATTGGCCAGAAATGCTCTGAGTTTCACAACTTTTTTTCCAAAAATTAAACCTCCCTAGGAAATATGGAGTGATAAGACATACATACCCCATTCTGCTATAAATTCTCTTTGTTTTCTGCCTATTCCCTTTTTGTATCTGTCTTTTCTTTCTTTTTTTTTAAAATATTTTTTTGTAGTTGTAGATGGACAGCATGCTTTTTATTTGTGTATTTTTTATGTGGTGCTGAGGATCGAACCCAGTGCCTCCCACATGCAAGGCAAGCGCTTTGCCACTGAGCTGTAGCCCCAGCCCTGTCTCTTTTTCTCTTAAAGCTGTTTTAAATCAAAATTTCCATAAGATTCTCTTTTCAGAAATGAGTTCTTATCTCTATACTGATTTCTCATTGCTTTTCCTTATGTTCCTTGGCTCAGCATTTCTTCATTGACTTGTTTTTCCATTATAAGACATATAAATACAGGATTCCTGAACACCTTGAAAAAATTACATGCTGTAATGTTAGTTAACACCTAAGAGCACCTAAATGAAAAGTTTTATTAACTTGGCTTTAATAGACTTTGTATCCAAAATGTTAGGAGGTTTTTTGTTTGTTTTTAAAATCTGCCTTAAAATTCAATGCAAAATGAAGTAATTTATTAATTACAATATGTATATTTTTAAAATATTTATTTTTCAGTTTCAGTTGGACACAATGCCTTTATTTTATTTATTTGTATGTGCTGCTGAGGATCGAACCCAGGGCCTCGCACATGCTAGGCAAACACTCTACTGCTGAGCCACAACCCCAGCCCCTACAATATTTATTTGTGAACCTTTCTTTTTCCAAAAAAATTGCCTGAGAATGCAACTAATAAATGTGTTTCACATTAACAAATTTGATATTTGCAAAATCTTTCTTATTGTTAGGTGACAAAATAATTCAAATCATTTTTCTTATAGAAAGTGACTTCTCAAAGGTTCCTCTTTCTTTCTTTCTTTTTTTTTTTAAATTGGTGACTATGGGGATTGAAACCAGGACCTTGCACATGCTAGGAAAGTGCTGTGCCACTGGGCTGCATCCCCAGTTCCCAAAGGTCTGTTCTGTTCAGTTCAGTTCCTTTCCCCTCCCTCCCTCCCTCCCTCTCCTTCCTTTCTTTCTCCCCTCCTCCCCTCCCCTCCTCTCCCCTCTTTTCTGGGGGTGCTTTACCACTAAGCTATATCCCCAGCCCTTTTAATTTTATTTTTAAAATTTTTGAGACAGGATCTTGCAGAGTTGCTGAGGCTGGCCTTGAATTTGCAATCCTCCTGCCTCAGCCTCCAGAGCTGGTAGACTTACAGGTGTGAACTACTGCCCAGCCCAGGTTTCATTAAAAAAAAAAAAAAGGTTGAGGAGTATGTGAAATATATAAATATAATGTTAATTGTTGTGAAAAGTTAACTTATTTTCACATCTATATGGAAGCTCATTTAGGAATATTTATTAAGAAATTATATTCCTTATCTTAGAAATTACACTTCTAGAAAATTATTCTACAGAAAAATTCAACCATCTGTGAAATGATATATGTGTAAAAATAGTCATAGCACATTGTAGTAGCAAAAGATTGGAAACAGCCTAAATAACTGCCAATGAATTAGAAATAATTGAAGAGGAGTGATTGGAAAAATACACAAAAAATAGGCAAAAAATGAACATATAAATCATCTGAATAGTATGAATGACTGAACAGATAAATTATACTTTATACATAAAAAACAAAAGCTACATTTTTTGTTAAATACCTAGAAAAGTATATGGTTCCAGTATGAGAATAGAAAGAACAAATCAGAATAGAATGCCTAGAAATGGAATGTAATATGAAGGAAACTGACATATTATGAAGAAAGCATTTCTAATCAGTAAGGGAAAAAAATAATTAAACCCAAACTGAGTTAACTGCCACCACTTTTTTGGGGGGGATATGGGGCAGGGGGAGATATTAAACTAGAGTCTTATCACAGAAACAGCAAAATAAATTCCAGCTAGTTAAGGAATTAAATGTTTAATTTAAGCAAAATGGGAATAGGAAAGAACTATAGGGTAATTTTGGAGAATATTTATATATCCAATTCAATGCCATAAAATGAAAGATAAAGGAGATTTTAATACACAAAACTTAAAAATGTATAAATGAGGGGCTGGGGATATAGTTTAGTGGTAGAACATGTGCTTAAGTCATGAATGGCAAAAAAAAAAAAAAAAAAAGAGTTTGCGAGTACTTGTTTTTAAAAATGATGTAAGCACACACACACAAAAATATGACCCTGTCAATACAAGTACATACATTAACCTTAAAGATATAATTGTGTAAAGAAAGTATACATTAGATTGTAAGAGATGCTAACATACATATCTGGTTTATCCAACCTACTGCAACCTTACCTTTGTGCAGTTTACTGTGAATTCACTACAGTATATGTTTGTCTGTGGAGCTCAATGCTCCTAAATTCAAAATCTCCCTATGTCCAGTTCATTTGTACTCATCCTTTCTCTATGTAACTGCTATAAACAATACTGACCAACAAAGAGGGTTAGATAATAAAGTTTAAAAGATATTGAAGAACACCACCATCTTATTGGAGCATTCTTATTTTTTTTGAAAAGTATTTTTCTGTTTTCATTGGAAATGGGTTAAATTATTCAACACCAAATAAAATAAAGACTCTGAGAAAGTAGTAATAAATAAGTTGCCTTTCTTTGACCACTGATTTTTGGCTATCAGCTTATCAATAAGATTAACTAGATTTTGTAACTCCATACCAAAATAAGCTTATTATATATGTAATATAATCACTGATCTTAAAAAAATATTATTTTTACAACCTAATGTATACTTTCTTTGCACAATTATGTCTAAGGATAGTGTAGTTGTATTGACAGGGATATATTTTTGTATGTGTGCTAACATCATTTTTAAAAACAAGTACCCTAAATCTCTTTTTCTCTAAAGCAGCCAAAATATTCTTTCTTGGTTAACACACTTGTAGATGAAGAATAATCACCTCACCGAAGTCTATAATCATGGTTAACATTTATTGTTGTTTTACTATTTGTTAGTAAAAATATGAAAAAATTTTTGAATTTGTATCATTAATTTTTACTTTTCTAGCATCATTTTATCAAGAATGCAAAACCTGTATCCATATTAAGAGATCTGATCACAGAAGCTATGGAAATCAAAGCTAAAAGACATGAAGAACAGCAGCGAGAATTAGAAGAGGAAGAAGAAAATTCGGTTCGTAATTATCTGCAAAAATTGATTTTTAAAAATCTTCCGGGTCATTTTTTAATAATGTTGTTTCTTAAGATATATTAATAGAGTTTACCATTTTATTACACAAGTGAGATATATTTCTTCATTAAATCTTAAGAAATATTTTTTGTATTAAATGTTTGCTATCCTTTTCTTTTGTCTTAAAGTTAATAATTAGTGAGATGTAAAGTTGATATAGTAGCAATATACAGTATCTGAACAAAGTTGTCTCAAATTTGGACAGTTTTGTGTCATATCTTCTGGAAGTGTCTTTTTCCTCGTCATCAGCCCTGCTGTGAAACTAACAAGATTTGGTAACTATGTGGAGAAATTGGAGCATTTGTTCACTGGTAAATATGAAGTGGTGAAGCCCTTGAGGAGAAGAATTTGGTGGTTTTCTAGAAAGATAAACAGATTCAGCAGTTTGATTTTCAGGGTGCATATAGTGCTGCCCAACTAATGATGGTTCAGTTTACTGATTTTTCAACTTAACAGTGATGTGAAAATATACCAATACAACCATTCTGTTTCTCACTTTCACTCCAGTGTTCATTAAATTACCTGAGATATTCAGTACTTTATTGTAACCTCACCAGTTATGGGATTTCATTTATGTGCGGGCTAAAGTAAGTGTTCTGAGCACAAGTTATGATGTTGAGTAGATTTGGTGTATTAAATGCCTATATTCAAGGTGAGAGGAATTAGGTTCTTTCTTTTGAGGATGAGACTGTGGACATGAGATGGACAGATTTTAAAATAGTATCATGTTTTTATGACCCCCCCCCCTTTTTTTCCTTTAAATAAGCATTTATTCCCTGGAGTAGGGTTAGTGGTTCTGAGTGAAACTGTTACATTTATTCTTTTTAAAATTATAAGAAAATAATTAAAAGTCTTGGCAGAACCACACATTGAGCAATATTCACATGCTTTACTTTACAAAGATTATGTTCTCAGGCACTAGCTTTCATAATTGTTGCCCTGAATATAAAATGTGTGTGTGTGTATGTGTGTGTAAACACATACACATACAAATATTTGTAAGAACAAGGAGATATGCAGGATGGATCTGAAGTACTTTACCCATAGTAAAAAGTATATCCTGTATTGCCATTCATTTTTGGCAAAATTTAAAATCAGTATTTTCTCAGAAATGTTTATCCACCTTAAAGTCTCAAAATTTTACACATAGAGTTTATACAATTCATTCCTTTGGGATTTTTTTTGCAAATCAGTCTAAATAGGATTACATATACAGTTTTAAAGTAAAACAGCTAATTGCTAAGAACTATGCATCTCTTGATGTCCATGGGAAGTCCAATGATTGTCATTAAAGTGATACTTTTCCCATAAAAGTCAGATATTTTTACAATAATTATACTTGTTTTTGAACAAATCAACACAAACATTGATTTAGGTTATGTATAAGGGTCGTAGGCATATAGAACATTTTCTTGTTTCGGTATGATAATTACCTGTAAATTCAAGATGTAAGCAAGACATTTGGTAATTTATTAATTATACTTCAAGCACTATTTATTCTCATGTAATATTTAAACTAACTAATGAGTTGATGATTTTTAAGAATTCAGAGTTTGCCAGTATGGCTTATTGATATGCTATACAAGCTTTTAAATGAGTTTAAATATGTACACAGTGAAGGAGTTAATGCCTGCAAAATATGAGGCAAACATTCCAACATGGTACATTTTATGATTATTTAAAAGTGAAATGGTTAGTGTTAAATTGAATTTGTAAGATTAAGCATAGATTGCATCATTGACAAGCACTAGTTTTCAAAGTAAATGAAAAGACTGATTCGGAATTTACAAAACTTGCTTTGCCATTGGAGCTCAGATATTTACCATATGAATCATAATGTTAACTGAAGGAATTGAATGAATACAGAATTTTACATTAAGTGAAATAATAAACAAAAGATGGGGTACCTTTTTTTTCCCTTTTTCTTTTGCAGTGCTGGTGATGGAACCCAGGGCTTCATAAATTCTAGGCATATGTTCTACACCCACATGCCTTTGGGGGTACTTCTTCATTTTAGGCTTACATGAGATCTTTTCACTTCCATGCTCTTTATTTCCTCTTTTATCTAAAGAAAGTGTTAACTTAGTAATGACTCAAAGCAGTTTTCGTATTAATTGTCCTTATACTATGTCTTAGAACTTCTACCTTTGGATAAGAAATGGAGAGTTTCTGGTGACTTTTTAATAGTCTGAACTCTTAAGCTTTTAGACTGTGGTCTTTAATGTCTCAAGAATGACATATCCCTTTCAAATCTGATTCATTGAAGCAGTAGTTCTCAGCACAGATGTGGGGAGGAATACCAGGGTGCTTTGGAAGCCATCCCCAATCCCCTTCAGCTGATGTTACAGCCTGTAGGTAAGCATTTTTCAGAACCTTCCCTCTTCCCACTATTCTTATTGAATAGAAAGCTTTAAGTCACTCTGCTTTTCAAGAACCTTCTTAACTGGATAATAAACAGAACAGTACCAGAATCAGCCCAAGTCATTCCAGAAACCTTTCATGTACCTAGCTGGTTAAATGAGAAATAGAGTGATACAAGAACAAGACAGATTGTGCTTATTCAGTTTTTTTCTTTTTTTGTTTGTTTTTTTAAAGATATGTATAACAGTAGAGTGTATTTTGACATATGATACATACATTGAGTATAACTTATTCTAATTGGGATCCCATTCTTGCGGTTTTGCATGATGTGGAGTTTCCTTGGTGGCTTATTCATATATGAACATAGGAAAGTTATGTCTGATTCATTCTCCTCTCTTTCCTATCCCCTATCCCCCCTTCCTTTCCTTTATTCCCCTTTGTCTAATCCAAAGAACTTCAGTCCCCTCCCCATTGTGTGTTAGCATCTGCGTATCACAGAGAACATTTGGCCTTTGGTTCTTTGAGATTGGCTTATTTCACTCAGCATGATAGTCTCAAGATCCATCCATTTACTGGCAAAAGTCATAAAGTCATTCTTTTTATGGCTAAATAATAGTCCATGGTGTATATATACCACATTTTCTTTATTCATTCATATGTTGAAGGGCACCTAGGTTGGTTCCATAGTTTAACTATGCTGATTTTAAGTCCTTTGGGTATAAACTGAGGAGTGGGAGAGCTGGGTCAAATGGTGACTCCATTCCAAGTTTTCTGAGGAATTTCCATACTGCTTTGTGGAATCGTTGCACCAATTTGCAATTTACGTTGCATCAAAGTATGAGTATACCTTTCCCCCCACATTATTGCTACTATTTATTGTTACTTATATTCTTGATAATTGCTATTCTGATTGGAATTAGATGGAATCTCAGTGTAGTTTTAATTTTCATTTCTCTGTTGAATATTTTTTCATGTATTTGTTAAATTTTCATATTTCTTCTGAGAAGTTTCTGTTCCTTCATTGATTGAAATAACTTGATTGAACTTTCTCTCTCTCTTTCTCTCTCTCTCTCTCTCTCTCTCTCTCTCTCTCTCGTTAAAATCACCTAGTATTATTGTATTGTGGTCTATTTGATTCTTGAAATTGAGAAGGGTTTGTTTGATGTATGTAGACTTTCCATTGTTTGGGGCCTAAATATTTATGATTGCTATTTCTTGTTGTACAACAGCAGTATGAAATAGCCTTCTTTACCTCTTCTGATTAACTTTGGTTTGAAGTCCACTTTATCTGATATGAGGATAGAAACCCCTGCTTGTTTACAAGATTCATATGAATGATATTTTTTTCCCATTCTTTTACCTTCAGTCTGTGGATGTCTTTGCCTATGAGGCAAGTCTCTTGGAGATAGCCTACTGCTGGGTCTTGTTTTTTAATCTAATCTGCCAGTCTGTGTCTTTTGATTGTTGAGTTTAGGCCATTTACTTTCAAAGTTATTATTGAGGTATGATTTTTATTCTCATTATTTTGGTTTGTTCCTGGTTTTAATTAGAATTAGTTTCTTCTTTGATTGATTATTCCTTTAGTTCTTCCCTTTGCTGATTTTCTCTTTTATTTTTCTTTTCATCTTCATGAAATATTTTGCTGAGAATGTTCTGTAGTGCAGGCTTTCTGGTTGTGAATTCTTCTAACTTTTGTTTATCATGGAAGGTTTTTATTTGATCCTCAAATCTGAAGCTTAATTTTGCTGGTTATGGTATTCTTGGTTAGCATCCATTTTGTTCCAGAGCTTGGAATATAAGACCTCCTAGCTTTGAGGGTCTGGATTGAGAAATCAGCTGAGATCTGGATTGGTTTCTCTCTAAATGTAATTTGACATTTTTCTCTGGTAGCCCTTAAAATGCTATCTTTATTCTTTATGTTTTGCATTTTCAAAATTATATGCGTTGGTGTGGGTCTGATGTAATTTTGTATATTTGGGGCCCTCTAAACTTCCTGTATTTGATTTTCCATTTAATTCTCTGGGTTCAGAAATTTTAGATATTATTGGAAAGATTGCCCATTCTTTTGGTTTGTATTTTATCTGTCTTGATAAATCTTAAATTGTGTGTTTTCAGATTATCCTGTATTTCTTTGAAGTTCTGTTCATGGTCTCTAAACATGTTTTCTCCATAGTCAACTTTATTTTCAAGATTATATATTTTGTATTTGTTTCCTGAAACTATATTCTAACTGGTCTAGTCTGCTGATGATGCTTTCTGTTGAATTTTTTATTTGGTTTATTGATTATTTCATTTTGAGGATTTCTGCTTGATTTTGTTTCAGAATTTCTCTTTATTAAAGTCATCTTTCACTTCCTGCATTTTCTCTCTGATTTCACTCTTTATTATCATCCTTTACCTTGCTGATCAGTTTAATGATGAACTTTCTAAACTCTTTCTGATATTTGTTCCTCTGTGGTGTGAATGGATCCTGTTAATTGAAGTATTTTTGTTTGTTTGGGGTAGTTTGTTCCCTTGCTTTTCTATGTTATTTGCATGACTACCCATCCAGCATTATGGATCTGAGACAGTAGAGTTTCTAC